TTTGCTGATTTATATTCAGAAAAATTTGACCGCTCGAAAATGCACCTTAATTTTGTAATTTTAAACCATGTCAGATTTCCAACACAAATTATTTAAAAACTGGTCGAAATTTTAAAACTTTTACGTTAGGAGCTGGAGCTCTCTTCTTGCAGGCGACCGTCGCCGGTAGTACAACATCATGTTTTGTACTTGCGTACGTACCGTGCGCTGATTATCTGCGACTGTCTTAGAAAATCCCTGAATAAAGCGTTACCAAAATCCGAAAAAATAAAAAATTGCCTCCTTAAAAAACGAACAGAATTCAAATATTTCTTTTAACAAATATGTTGCAGTGGGAAAATGGCATTGGAAACGCTGAACAAAACTTCTGTGTCTCGCGTTTCGATTCTAGGATTACGCGATTTTTCATTATTGTGCGTTCGCTTCCTGGAGTTGGTTCTCAATACTACATAAAAATCATCGAGGATAAATAATTTAATATCCAACTTTGTACTCTTCACGGTAAACCACAGGCTCTGAAATACTCGTAGATGTTTTATTGAAAATACATTGAAGAGAAGCCACGATGTTTTGATCGTGATAAAGGGTCACCTTCCTAGAACCGCCCCTGTTTAATATTTCATGAGATGACGTCATATTTACTGGGCATTGCCACGTGTTTTTGCCGACCCCATCAAAACACTGGTATGAATGACGTGTTTCTGATTTATATATTCAAGAGCAGTTGTGCTGGTCCAACGATTTTACGTAAAATGTCTATGTCTGTACGTTAACTTTCAATTTCAATAATCTAGAAAGTATGACAAAGCAGTAATTCCCGGTTTAACGTGCAAATATGCAAATTAGCCTTTTTCTCGTCTTTTATTTTTGGTGAATTTTTGGGTTTCAAATTAAAATAGATGATAGACGCTTTGACCATTTGCCTCGAAATTTTCACACATTATTGACAAGGTGTTCCCCCTTCAAAATGCGTCCGGACAGTTTATTACGGCGAGTGGAACAAAAATAACAAGTTCGCACTTGACATGGATATATAAATTATGCAAAAATAGAAAAGAGTGAACTTTGAGGTCATGCTGTGCGACTTTGAAAGCCTTTAGAGAGATGAGTGGACGCATTTGAATTAGTAGTATACCAAGGTATCCAGTGATGTAATTTTACCCACAAACGGACTTGAAGTTTTTAAGCTAATTTTTTTTAAACCACTTTTGCCCAAAAAAGCATATTTTTGACCCAAAATCAAAAACGCATTCTGGATATTTAAAATAAAGACAAGTTTTACAAAGTTTGTATAATAAGCTTTCAGAAAATATGTAACATGTTGGATATATAATACTATTTTCATTGTCTAATTACTCAATTAAAAAGCAAGCCAAATATACTGCATCTCTACCTTAAGTAAATACACTAACCAATCAAAGCACCAGTCCAAGATGGCGCTGTGATCCTGTTTTAATAGTGTGAAATTAGGCTTATATATCACCAGCATGGAAAGGTATTGATTGACCATAATTAAATGAATGATTGGTTGATGTTTTCAAGGGACTTGTGTTTTGAATTAATTAGTGTAACTGTTTTGTATTGGCCTATTATTATTCATCGAGATTTGTTTTCCGAATTCGAAGTACGACTTTTACTGTAAATAAGTATATGAAATATTTAGTGTTATTGTTGTAATCTTCCGAAAATCAATAACCCCTTGAATACCATCAGCTACCTTATTTGAAATTCAATCAACAAATTACTAATATATGTAATAGTATAACATAACAAATGCTCTTCGTGTTTCGAAATCCGTTCCAGCTTTTGATTCGTCAACATAAATTTGCATAAAGGTTTTGTAAGTGATTAACACGAGGTGGGAATGCTTTCATTCACTACTAATAATTTCCCCTTGACAAAATATAGATGTTTGCATATGCATATGTAGTTTATACATGTGATTCATCAGGTTTTACAAATATCATATTCCTCAGTACTAATTGTCCTCATGGTTTTCGTTAAATGTGATCAATGTCGAATAGGAATTGGTGTTAGAAATTGAAAACAATGTTTTGTACTTTGCACTTGCATTCTACGAATAGTGCAATAGACACCAGCTTTGTGGAAATGCGCACTATTCACAAAACCTACTCTCAGCAATGTACATTGAATGTTTATATATACTTGAAAATAAACTATAAGAATAACATTGATTATATTCCGTGTTTGAGTGACGTATGCCTTACACGACAGGAGAACATAACAATTACATTATAACCAGAATATCCAGGTTGCATGATAATTATTATTCTAACGTGGCTGGGCTATTTGGAACAAATTAAATTACCGGTAGCTAACCAGTTTCCATATGAAATACTAAAAGGAATATAACCTGACTAGTTAAATAGAACGGTAAATGTGGTTAATGGTTATACAGCTAATGGTGATTTTTAAGAGACCAAAAGTCTTATAGTGCGCAGACCACGAACACCAGTTTTCTATCTATTGCCCAATTCATAAGGTGAACAATCCTGG